TTATTGACTAAAGTAGGAAATCTTATACAAATAAATGGAAGTAGAACTTTGCATTTGTCCTATGCAATACATTTTTAAAATTCAATGTAAGATCTGTAGGCCACACCAAAATAGCCAACAATCTTGAAGAACAATTTCAGAAGAAAAGACAGATCTTGATCTCAGTAATCCTGGGAGATCTGGAAACAAAGCCAGCTGGTAATAACTTGAGAAAGAATTTCAAGTAATAAATTTAGAACGCTTTATGTTGTTTAAGAAATATGTATGTATGGAAACAGCAATTCATCTATATTTATTGTTTACTTCAGAAGAAACTGCTCTAGTTCATTGTTATTGTCTGTCTTTGGTACTTTTTCTTTACTTTCTTATGTTCTTTGTAATCCTGGATTGGTAGAGTACTAAGATTACACTTAGTCAAATATGTTGCCATCCTATCCTCCTCCTGAATTTCTGAGTAGAGCCACAGAAAATGTTGTTGAAATGAAATTTGGGAAATGCTGCAAAGATCATAAAATCAGACCCAATTTAAATAATAATTGGTACTAGAAACAAATACAGGGGAAAAGTATCTTCACCCATGTTTAAGTTTTAAATGAAGCTTAGGAATGTTAACTTTGGTTTGTTAAAGGTATTCAGTCAAGATGGATCTTCAATCCATTCATTAAAAAGAACACAGACAAAATGGAATGGAATAGATTTTTTTGTATTTATATGAAGTTTTGAGTTTTCATTTAATTCTAAAGAGAACTGTATCAGCTTGACTCTGACATTTATTTATTTATTCATTGCCTTAATTACCTCACACATTAAAATAAGGACTTGCACAGCTCTGCTAAATGGAGTCTTTCCTGTTTCTCAGCCATTGAACTTGGTGTGATCTGAAATTAAAGTTATTTATGTACTTCTGGTGTTACTATTTCATGATTAATATTCTACTTCCTGTAATCACTGTGCACTTACTAAGATTCCTTTATACCTTTCTGAAGCTATCTTTTGCCACCTAATTTTCTACTGTGCCATGCATTCCCAGTGTTTTTTTCCTCAGAGCTAAGAAATAAGCATCAGAAATCCTACTAAAATTTCTTACCTGTTGGTTTTTCAGCTGCTTTCTATACCAAGTGTAACTGTTGTCACACGTTAATAATGAGTAGCTGCAAAAGACTCTGTGTCTTGTGAACAATAAACTGGTCTAAGGGTGATTAAGAAGATTGTTCTGGTGCAGTTTTGTCTCCATGGGTTAACAAACAAGAAAAACAGCAAACGATGCTAACTAAATCTGAAAAACACAGAGAAAATAGAGCCCTCATCTGTTGTGCTAGATCTATCTTCTACCCCACTCATACCTCTTACAAATCCACTTATCTGGTATTTTGTTGGCTTTTTGTTTGGTTTCTTTTCTGCACGTGAAATTTTAGCTTAAAAATATTGGTAGATCTAGAAAATGTGTTTTTCCTTTTTGACATAGCTTTGAAAAAACTTGTGAATCAGCTGTCATTCCTTTGTACTGTTCTTCTTGTAAATCCAGTTAGTGCTGAAAAATCTCATCTCTCTTCTGTTGTGATTTGTATATTCATAGATGGTATGGTGTCATGTCAGCAGAAGAGTTTCAGACAATGATGAATGGAAAAATTAGCATGTATGGTTGTAAAAGAAAATCAACGTTATCTGCTGTTAACATCTATGATGTTAAAATTTGAAAAACTGAAGAATTATTAGTGGAACAAGATGGCTGGGTAAACTGTGGCGTGTAGACTTTTTTTTTTTAAGGGAATATGTGCCTACATTTATAATACATTGGCATATGTACAAAGACACAGACTGTGATGAAATAATTCCTTGTACAATTTTACTAAAATCAGTACTGTAAAGCAGGATAAGAACTACTCTTTTCCTCTGTCACATCACTCAGGCAGTGAAACTTTTGGTTCCCAAGTCGTTTCTCTGCACAAATGTACTGCACTGGAGATATAATTTCATCTTTTTCTACTTTGTAGACAAGCCTTATATGCTACTGATACCTGAGAACTTTAGAAGTCTCTTCCTGACAAAAGAAGTTGGTGCTGTCAATCGAGTTTTCAGTGGTCATTGTGTCCACTAAATAAATAAGTTAAATGACTAGCCAATAGTCAAAAACTCTAAATGAAAGTTAAAGATGGGCAAAGCATGGAGTCACGTCATTTTCTCAATATAACTCTTCTGATTTATGGCAAATTGATGATGATTCCATCATTCCTGCTATTTTCGCTTATCTCCTGAAGAAAAATAGAGGAATTCAAGGGAAATAATGTTCTAAAATATCAAGTGATGCTAAATCTTTATTCCGTTTAAGCTTTTAGACTTCTGAGACTATGTTGCTCAATTCATTGCATGCGGAGCTTCCTCCTTATTCTCGTAGATTTATCAGAGATTTCTTCTACGTTTGCTCACAAGTCACTCTCACTTGAATATCTGCGATTGGTCTTGCCAGACTGTTTTGAAAAGCACCTTTTTAATTTAGGATGGGAAGTTCAACAGTCCTCATAGCCTGATCTGTACCCTTGTACCAGATCTAGGTGTTTTGGTATGAAAAGACACAAACTGGTAGCTAGGTGAGTTTTCATTGTGTAATTATATGCCTACCTATGTTACATAAGCATCTAAGTCTCTTAAATTTCTGCTAATTGAAGTTCCAATGTTTTGATACTTAAAGTTCATGGCAGCCAAAGCTCATGATGTCTTTCTACATAGCGATATGTATAAACATCTTTGTAGATTTCCCTGTTATATTGCAATAGGAGAACTAAGTGCAAGAAACACCATGCCAGACATTTTTATTTTGTTTCCAACTCCTCTAATACTGGCACAGCTCTGACAAGTTTAAAAAAAGCATTTTGAGCATTGGAATGCAAATTAACATACCAAGCAATTAAAGTCAATTAAAACAGGATGTGGTGTAATTAGAAACAGTTGTGTTCACATTTATATTCAGAGAGGTTTATTGTGTTGAAAGAAAAGAAAATGATTTAGGAAACTTTTAATGCCTACAGATGTGATGATGATAATAATAATGACATTTGATTTCTAAAATGCCTCATCCTCCTTAATTTCACGAGCTCTTGAGAAGCATAATAAAACAAGCACAGTGACAAATAATACACTGGACACAATGGAATGGAGTACACCAACACACAGGGATACTCAAACACTAACTACAAATAGTGGCCATCCCTCCCCTCTCAGCACACTGAGTACCTGTTGCAGTAGCAAAGAAGCTACCAGCAATGTTAGCTCAGGAAGGCTGTATCTTTCCTATGTGTACTTCCTTGGTATCTCATTTATTGTTTTGAGTATTTATATTAGCATTTATTGCCAGAAATACTGAACCAATTTTCCTCCCTATTTATTTTTTCAGTGTTGTAGGCAGAAAGGAAGGGGATCCCCACTCTCTCCATTCAATACAGGACTCAGATCAGGACCATGTTCATTCTTTTTCTTCTCGTTAACCCACGTTCTGTTTTCATTTTGAGCCTTGCTATGGAGGACAGTCTCTTTGAGACTATATCTATTTGAACTCAGTCATATTCGTTTGCATTTTCACTAAGTCAATAATAGTAGAAGAAAGTAGTGGGATAAATCTTTCCATTTTGCATTGTGTTGACCTATGAATTAATCAATTCAGAATTCTGCACTTTACAGGTTTATAATGGTTGGTTTGATTTCCTGGGAAAATAATTATTTGTATTTTCAAAAGGGATAGGGGACTTGAAAGATATGTAGGTAATTACCTCCTATTAAGGCCAGGAAGAATGAGGTGTCTAAGTATGACTTGGGCAGATGGACACATTCAAAGATCTGCTGCATGTTTTCAACTTCTTCTTTTCTGTCTGTGCCACGTGAAGCACACGTGACAAGATTTCATATTTGGGATTGTGTATTCAACGTGGCTTGAAAATCAAAATTCCATTCATTTGTCATGAAAATGTGTTTGTCCTGTCATGGATTGTCTGATGTTACAATTCTGAATTTGAGATGTCTGTTTTTGAGGGCTTTACAAGTTATATCTTTTTACCAAATGTTGCTCCCTATTCTTGCAGTTTAATTCACTTTGATTTGTGCAGGTCAGAAATATTAAAGCATCATCTCATGTTAGGGTATATTGGACCTGCTTTGTGCAGATAGAAATAGTTACAGAGAATTAAGTTCAAGTTACAATACTTCTTAGAGGAAATATATTTGTAGTGATGTGGAATCAATCATTTAATCCAACACCAGATTTGAATAGCTATATTTGGCTCTCAGCTAGGTGACTGTATAATTAGAGAAATTCTGCTCATTTTTTCTTTGGAAAATACGACTTCTCACGGGTTTCCAGAAATGTTCAGTTGTTCCCCATCTACTAAAGAACACCGATTTCTGAAAAAAATCTGGCCACATAAGTAAAAACAAAAATGACTGGGTTTCAGCACTTCCTTAGAATGCCTCACTTGATAAGGGTAACACAGCAGATCTCAGAAGGATATACGTAGTATTTATGTATGTTTATGAAATGTTCATTCTTCAAGCACGGACTTGCAAGCAAGGCAGTCATATGACATCAGTTTAGTAATTACTAGGTGGCTGAGAGTTCATTGCATGTGTTGTTACATATTTCATATAAGATAACGCAATGAATTTCTTGTGATTGTGAATCAGTGTCCCTCTACCAGTGTTTGGAGTAGTAGTTGTATAGTGTATGTGTACACCACAATATGCAATGCAGCCAACTGTCACTAACCAGAGTAAATAATAGATTTAGAAACTTCACAGTTTTTATAAAAAATACTGACCTTTCCTGCCAGTTGTAAATCATTTAAAAGGGAATATGGTTGAAGGACAACATTAATCTGTGTGAACAAAGGCATCAAAGGCCCCTTTTCTTCCAGAAATAATTTAAGTGTTTTAAAATCTAACTGGAAGAAGGACGATGCACTTTATTGCACTTGGAAGAAAATGATTTTCTAATGTTTGCTTGTTTTTCCTAGGTTGTATACGTAACAGCCACATTCCCCTATATCATGCTGATGATTCTTCTGATTCGAGGGGTAACGTTGCCAGGTGCTTCCGAAGGGATAAAATTCTATTTGTATCCTGACATTTCCCGACTGTCTGACCCACAGGTAGGACCATGGCCCATGCATTTACTTTCTTCTTTGTCTGGGAAAAGCCGCAAAAGTTTACTGATATTAAAATCTGAATGCAGGTGATTCCTGGATAGATGTTTATTGGTGGAGATTTGGAGTTGTAGATAGAGATTTAAAGCTATCATTGCTTACATTTGTTGGGTTGGATTGTATTACTCTTTTAGTAGAGAGTTACCTTGGCTGACAAATCAGAATTTTCAGACGTACTCAGTTGCTGTTGTTCATTCTGCCACTGAGAGGCAAAGTGTTGCTATTGGTTTCATCAAGATCAAACCTGACTCTAAATTAGCCATTTGAGAGCTGTACCTTTCTGTGCTCATTCCAAAGCTAAATCTCAGTCAAGAGTAACATAGAAATCAGTCATTCAGATCATTATTGACGTTGAAAAAGTCGTCTCTATATACCATGAAGAGATAAAGGTCCAGCAAGACACTCAAAGCATTAACTTTTTTCAGGTATTTCCAGAGTGGAGTTGAACATGAAAATGCTGGCTGAAGTTGAGTTTTTGTGTTTTTTTTTTTTTTTTTTAATGATTGATTACTACAATAAAATAATTAATAATGAGTTATTTCTATGATATCAAAGAGGGAAAATGCTACAAGCTCTATAATAGCTAACAGATTGTAAACAGTGTTTTACTTATCTGGTTTGGTGTTGCAAAAGACAATAGACGTTGATACCACTTAGTAAACGAGGTGATGTTTTTTTTCTTACCCTCAAAGATTAACCAAACAGAAAACACTAGGGGGAAAAAAAAAAAATACAAAAATTTCCAATGAAAATTTAATCTTGTAGAAATGCCATTCAGCCTAAAAGCAGCAACTGTGCTGTGCCTGCATAGATGAGAGGTAAAAGAACAGTTGTGGAAAAGGAGTTAGGAACCCAGTGATGTGCTATGGCTTCCTAACATCTAGCCTTAGCCTTGAATAAATGTATCCTCAGTTCTCCTGAGAAATTAGCACAGTGAGAGAGCGAAAAAAAAGCAGAATTCCTTCATGTACTTCCAATCATTTGTTTGCAATACTTAGCAGACACATACTGTGGTAAATTCACCAAGCCCCATTTCAAGTGAACTCTATGTCTTAATTAGACATGAAATGTCTCTAATATGCTTATCTGAGAACATGGATGGCATGCATTTATTATGTTCAGTTTTAACTAGCGTTTCACTTTATTATGTGGTTCTGACAACTGAAGTTACCTACAGTCTTAGCACAAAGTGACAAGTACTCGTTTCTTGTACATGTTCTTCCACCTGTGATGTCTGTTGACCTCATGTGAGCAGGAGGTAGACCTGCTGCTTAGGTTTTGCTTCCTTCATTTGTCCACTGGCACACAAGAAGCCTTTTAACAGGATTTTGTCTCTGTGGATTTTCCACATGCAACCAACACCGTTGCTGCTGTTTGTCACTGAAGGAGGGCATGCAAACTTAAACAACGTTATTGTCAGTTTACAAGGGGGTTTTTATATGCCTATTTACCATACTGTTTCCATTTGTAAAGAAGTACATTGTTGCCATGACAATTTCCAAAGCATAGTATTACTCAAGGAGTCTGAGAAGCACAATGCCACATGTGCCTCCATCAGTTGGTCCAGCACATGCAGCTCAGCTGACACTGGAGTGTCTTTAAAGAAGGCTTCATGTTTTGGTTTAACAAGCCAATATTTTTTCTCTCTGTTTCAGTGTGATTTTATCTAATAAACTTCCAGGCTTAGCAAACTTTGGAATTTAAAAGATTTATCTCTTTTTGTGGGAAAGATGAAATAGGATAGGCTCCATAGTTCACAACAGAGTTCATTAGCAATAATGTAGATGGCTTAATTGTAGCACAGGTGGTGAAATGGTTTTAGAGCATTATTTGTATTTTGAAAAAAGTGTATTTTATTGAAATTGAGCTTTGTTTAGACAAATCAGCTCTGGCAGAAGATTTCTGGGTTATGGGTAGTGTCCTTGGCACTTCTCAAGATAACAAGGAAGCTTGGCATCACAATTATAAAAGTAGAAGATATATTTTTAACATTTTCTTGCAAAGCAGAACACAGTAATGTTCAAAACCATGTTTCTTTTGCATTAAAAAAAAAAAAAAAATTAGAAAAAAATATCCCAAAACATTCCACGAGCCACTTCTGAGTTTGTTCTAGAAGTTTTTGTCAAGGAGAAATTAGGAGACAGCTGAACTAACCGTAATATTTGTGTTTTCAGTTTTCATCTTCACTCCTTGTTTGTTTGGATCTACTCCACAGTATCAAAGCATAATGCATGTGTACTAGCAGACGTTGTTTTTCTCTTTGCTTAGAGGTCTGTTTAAATGATGTTCCAAGAAGACTGTGTGTCTGTATTAGGAGAGCAGTATTTGAACCACAGTGCCAGCTATGTTTACTGTGGATTGAGTTTCTCTTCAAAGCTTGCTTTAGTCTGAAGTTCTTGAATCTTTTGTTTTTGTGTAATTTGCATTCCATGGTTTGTTACAGCTTTCTAAGCAGCTATTCATCTGTCTTTTCAGTTTCTCTTAGAGAACACAGCATTTGAAAACTATTTCATTTTTATGTTTTCAGCAGACTGGGCCCTCGTGGTCTGAAAATTCCATGTTCTGTCCAGAGTATCTGCAGAGCTCATACTGATCACTTTTCATGATAACAGTAGAGTAACATATTCAAGCTTCAGTGATGCTTTACTTCATCAGCACTAAGGTCTCTATAGCCCCCATATTCAAATTGGTTTGAAATGTGCTCCTTTACCTCCAATCTGGAAGACATAGCTGCTGTTTTTAGATTAAACATGTGGTCCTTCCTGAGCTCTAACTCACACAAAAGAAGTATTCTGAAAAGTTAATAGGATTATCATGCTTCTTATGTGCAAGTCTGACCTCAGAATATGGTTCTAGTTACCTCTCAACAGATGTAAGTCACTTAATATGTAGTTGTGCTTGTGAGTGGTATTCCCTGTTCCTTTCTGCAGGAAAAAAAGTTTGATTCCCTGTAATGAGATTTTCCTAATATTTGTGCGCTGAAGAGATTTTAAATTCTTTGTTAGTGACTAGCAGACAAAACAATTTGCTGTGTCTGAAATTGTGGTAAATTTAATCCCTGCTGTAGCTGTGGATCCTTAAAGTGTGGAGGGAAGTGAGAATAGAATCTCCTTGTTTATTGCATGCCTGTGTGCTGTGTCTGGCTGATTTACTAATTTATTTAAAACATTCACATGAAAAAAAAAAAAAAAAACCAAAAACATACAAAAGTATTGCTTTAATGGAAATATTCATAACGGCATCTGTAGAGGTGGATGTGATTTATAGTTGCAGTCTTTTCTGAATAGTTGGTGTTTACAAAAGTCTTGAATAAAGTTCAGTAACATGGTTTTGGGGCTGAATTTCACAGAATGCAGTTCCATTTGGGGGAATGAGAGTTGTGCTTTACCTGTGAAGCAATTACTCATGACCTTAAATATGAAATATGAATTACATAAAAGACACAACAAAATATGAGCCACCACAGTTAGAATTGTTTTTAAATTCATCTGAACTTTCATTTGCAGTGATGAAGTGTGAATGTTGCAGTAAAATTTCTGATGCCAGAAACATTTCTACGATGCACATCTAGTAGCTCAGCTTTTTGTCCTCTTTTTCCATCTCTGAACAGAGCCAAGGGGGAAAGAAACAGAAGTGACAAGAAGGGTGTTTGCAGAGAGAACCTCTAGTTACTCCGTTGTGATGCTGTGGCAGACATGCTGAAATTTGTCATGACAAAAGCTTAAGTTTCCTCAGTGTTCTGCACAGACTCTTGCTAACATAGGCCAGAATGCAACTGATTTATTTTGTTTTATTTTTAAAAGCACACTGTGTCCAATCTGTTGCTCTACAAAAGCACCAGGTCCTTTTCAGTTCTTAAGTCTGTGTGCAGTCCGTGTTGTTACGTGGGATGATTCTGTCCCAGGTGAAGGACTTTGAATTTGCTTTTTGTATTAATGACGTTCCTGTCTCCTATTTTACTAGCTTTCTGATATCACTCTGAATCCCAGCCCTGCCTTCCAGACTGTAGATCTATCTCCAAAGCTTACAAGTAGTATCATCCAACAACTTGCTGAGAGAGCACTCTCTCCTTTCAACCAAATCACCAAAAGAAAACGTTTGATATTAACATCAGTGCTGATCGCTCAGAGACATCACTGCCCCATCCCTGGAGGTGCTCAAGGCAAGGCTGGATGGGGATTTGGCAGCCTGATCTAATATAAGGTGTCCCTGCCCATGGCTCTGGCTGTTCCCATGCTCTGTGTGAGGAAAAAAAATGTACTACATTGGATATAAGTTGCAGAGAAAAAGTGTTTTTTCAGTAGACATCCACTTAGATTGGATGCAAGTTAAAATGTTATTTTTGCCTGAAAATTTTACTTTTCTTTAAAATCTCCTTGATTTTCTCATTAGCGTAAGTGTATTTTTCTAGTTATTACTCTTTTTTTTGTCATGGACCTGCAATTATTTTCTTTTGATTGTAATTCATCACAGCTGTTAACAATTCCTGTTCATTTAGTCTACATATGGTATGCAAGTGTGTGTGAGCACTGTGGGACACCGATGTAGAGGTGATATTTCATTCAGTCCTGTTGCATTTAAACTGGAAAAATATGAAGGAATTTATCATTCCTGAACTTGTGATTTCCAAGCACAGTTCTCTGTGATGAGAGCATCAGTAGTAACGCCATTCTGATTCATTGCCAAGGAGTCTCTTTTTAGCAGAAATATAAACGACAGAGATTAATTCCCCCTCGCTCCCCTGCTAGTCCATGCAGCCTTGAAAGCAACTATCACAATCGCATCGCCATCTTGAGGCCAAATGAAGCCCATGTTTCTGAAGGCAGAAAAAAAAAAAAATCCATAGCCTCAAAAGTGGAGGCAACTGTTCTATCTAATCAGAAGTCCTAAGGCTTTCTTTCTATTTCACAAAATTTAGAAGAAACAAAAAAAATCAGTATGTTGGC